GAGGGCCTCGTGGCCGGCGTTGGGCGTCTTCCGCGTGAAGCTCATGGGAAAGTGCTTGAGGAAGAACTCGTTGTACCACCGGAGGGGGTCGCGGCGGAACACGGAGCGCCTGCCCTGGGCGGCCGCCGTGACGCACCAGACCGAGTCGCTTCCGCCACGGAACGTCGGGATGCCTGTTGTCGTTGTTGTTGTTGTTGGTGTTGTTGTGGTGGTGTTGTTGTCGTGTCGTTATGGTCGGAGGCGGAGGACGAAAAGAGGGAAAGGGGCGTGCTGGGGTTGGGGTTGGGGTTGGGGTTCCATATTCAAACACTGCTGTACCAGCTGTGCGGAGGGGATGGGGGCGGGTTCTCTTACTGGCATTCGGATAGTGAAGCCACTGCTGTGGTCATTCGTCTTTCTTTGGATACGTCGAAATTTTGGAGTAATTTGAGTGTGTACCTATTCTTAGATTCGTCCACTCCAGCCAAAAAAAGAGGGGTCAGTCTCGGTGCGGTTAAAAAACAGAAAACGCTTCAAAAGGCTTTTGTCTGGGGCACCGTGACGAGGGGTCAAGGGGAAGGGTAAGCTATTCTTCGGATAGAAGACAAAAACGGCAGCAGATGAAGACAAAAGCACAGGTCTACTCCCAACTCGTGTTCTCGTCATTGCTGATCCTCCTGTCCTCTTCCAATATTTTTCTTCGATTTCTACTACTACCTGGTAGTATTTGGGCAGTGGCCTATCCCTCCGGCGTTTGTTGCGTGGAAGATCAACCGGGTCGAAACTACTCTTGAGGTCTCCACCGCACCCTCTCGTCCTTCCTTCATTTTCCGTTTTCCGTCGCTCTTTGGAACCTCGTTCGCCACTCACTGCATTATTCGTCTCCCTCACGCCGCCCTCACCCTCCTTGTCGCCAACATGTGTATGTGTGTATGGGCATCAGCCGCGCTAACCGACTGACCAACGAAATACGTCAGTCTCAGTGCGGCTTAAAAATTAAAAACGTTTCGTACAAAGGTCTTGGGACCCCGTGAGGTGCCTTAGAATGCGGGGTTCCACTACTGCTGCTGTCGTTCCGAAACAAGGACCAAGATACTCTTAAGCAACGGCCGCAGCCGCTGCGAGTGTGGGGATTCCCCTCGTTTTTTTCGACCAGCGTCGGGGGTGGTAGCGAGGGCGAGCGTGGGCGGTACCTATGAGCATCAGGATCGTGCAGCTTATTGGTTGAAATGCGAAGAGAGAGCATGAAGATTTACGGATCAATAAATAAAGGCCACCACCCCCTCTGAGGGCCACAGCTGTACTATAATACTGCTGTAATATTATTCTACAGTGCATGGGCATCAGGAGATTGTGAGACATGCACACACACAAGTGATGTACCGTACGGTGATGGTCAGGCACGTTGTGTTTCAGGCTCATACGACGAACATGGCCAAGAGAACGGAACGTGGCGGCCCACGCGCCGGTTGATGCCTGATGTCTGATGTCACTGCGCGGCGGCGGGACTGTGAAAAATGTGCCGCATGCTAAATCCAATCGTCGCGAGATGCGAGTTCGCGAAGAAGTGCGTGCGTGCGTGCGCGAAACCACTGGCGACGGCTGCCAGTGCTTACTTCTCCCGTCCGGAGAGAGAAGCGCGCTTGTAGCAGCTCCTATACGCTTGCAGACAACTAGCGATACGTCTACGTTTTCTTGCGGACATCCAGCTTGGGTAACGGCGACACCCTTTGCCAGCGGAGTAACAGGGCAGATTCTTGCTGTGATCGCCAACACCTGCAGTCAATCTACAGAAGGCTTGATGACGAGAAAAAAACTGTACACGAACAAAGGGCTACCTGCAACAACATGGTCGGGTGTGCGCGACGCTCTCGAGTACGGGATCGGGTGTGCTCGACTTCTTCTGCTAACCGCTGACTTTTTGCTTCGAAATACACGTGCCGAAGCTTCGCATGCTCCGCCGGAGATGCTTACCGCTTGCCGCCGACAAACCAGCACCGGTGATGATCACCACGGACTTGCTGGCCTTGAGGAGCCCGGCGAGCTCAGCCAGGGTCGTCTCCAGGCCGCGGACGCTGCTCCGGTGGCTGCGCGTGCTTGGTCCGCTCATGATGACAGCACAAGGTTGCAGGGTGTGCTGGTGTTCGTGAGCTGCCGCTGCTGCTCTGCTGCTGCCGTGCTTGCCGAATCTCGTCTGGCTCCGATTTGGAGACCGGTTTTGAAAAATCGGATCGTGTGCGTAGATTTCTCCCTCTCTCTTCTATCAGTAGCTCTCGAGTCGCACACCACAAAGTAGACGTGGACACGCGCCCGCCTCGCACACCTAGCACGAGAAGAAATCTTGGCGCGTTTCGCACGTGGAGGGGATGCTCCGTCGCTCTCGATTTTTCGTTGACGAGAAAAGGGAGTATATGCGATGATGATGGATGTCGGGGGTGTCCGTCGGGGCGTGCGGAGAAAAAACAAAATACGGGGAGGATAGTACCCATCCCCTGATACCATCGGGTAGGCGTTTGGTTCAGTTCAGCTGCTCCCCCATCAAAGGTACATGGATACCTTCTGCGAGCCCCCTTCTCCCATCGCAGGTGTAAGGTGTGAAGTGAAGTGCAATGCAGTAGCCGGTGTGTAGCTGACCCTCACGCGAGCACACACCACGTGAAACATGGAGTCGTCAGTGCCCACGCGCATGTCGCGACAGCTGACGGGGGGGAACGTGCAGGAAGATGGAGCTCTGCTCGGCGCTGGCGCCCCCGCCGCCGGAGGTGCCAGGTCGGACTGCAGCAACAGCGACGACACCCGGCGGGAGGAAAAAGCGGTGAATTTGTGCATGATTGGGACGGGCGAGTATACCACGGGCTACGTGCACGGTGGCGCCTCGGACTCCGACAAGGGCGCCGGAGGTGGGTGCAAGGCGGGGGAGATATTTTTTTCGTGGCTGTCGCGATCTGGCTGGTACCGATAGTCCTGTAGTGTGCTGTGCGGTGTTTTGCAGCGTGTCAAGATGCGCAATCGTCTCGGAAAACTGTGTCGGATTGGCCAGATTGCCAGCCTGCGCAGGGGGTAAAAGTCACAGCAGGCCTGCTTACGCCACAGGTGCGCCGGCCCTCTGCAGTACCTTATCTACTTTCAGTTCGCTTGACTTGTGTGCTTCATGGCAAGTGAGGCATATTCTCTCGTGATTTCCGCCTCACTGTTTTGTTGTGTCCCGAACCGATCATGACAGCCCCGCTCACAGAGCGAGACCGTGCCGTGCATGCGTTGTTGAACGGACTGACTGAGTGTTAACCTACATAGGTCGCGAAACTGCGGCATTATCTCTCCCATGGCTACAGCATCCACCCACCACGGGGGCACTCGCGTGCGGTTCCCCAGCCTTCTCCTATGGTGCACTGGGCTCAGCGAGAGACCGGCCGCATGTTGTCATGCAGTCACTTCTCGCTTGCGACCTCTGCGTGTGTGTGCACCTTCTCCATCTACAGTAACATGTACCTGGTATGTACATGTACCTCGGCTTTTCCGAGAGGTCTACGGAACGGTCTCAAATACCGTTGGTCCCCGAAGCAGCACGCCTTGCATTCGCTCTTTCAGGTTTCCGCACAAACAGCAGCAGCAGCAGCAGCAGAAGCTCGTGTGCTACTGCAACCTGTGCTGCTATTGTTGATAGTGTACACGACCGGCAGCATACAGCTGGTGGCGTGTCCAGAGTGTTTGGTGCGCGCGTATGTAGCAGGCGGGATGGTAAGCTACCATCGGTACGACTGTTTCATGCAAGGCACGCCCATGCGTGGCATCTTCGGGTGTTGGGGATCATCTCCGATTTGGATTCCATGGCACACGCACTGGTTGTCAGGATGACTTTGTCCTGTGACCGTGGGGGCGGAAGGTGTTGTGTTGTCTTTCCACGATTCATCGTTCCCTCGTCGTTCTCAAGAACGTTCTGTCGGGAACGTTTCGGAAGTTCCTCGATTCATCATTTCGGACTGGTGGTGGTGGTGGTGCTGAACCGTACGGATGGATGTTGTCTTACGACCCCCCCAAGAGGCGTGAATCGCGCTGTCTTGCTGCCATACCCTGACTATGGATGCCACCGCCCGAAATATCGACTACGTTGCACGCAGGTGTGCCATGATACAACGAGGGATACGATATCAAGTATGTTCCCTCCGCCGCCGCCGCTGTTCTGCCTCCGCCCCCCCCCCCCCGCCCCTTCCCAAAAGTCGTCGCCCTCACGATGTCGGACCTGCGGCGGCGCGGTAAGGTCAACCGTCTGGGCCTGTGCGGTACGAACGGCGCCAAGTTCCCGGGCATCCGCGCGCACATGCAGCGCGCGATCGGCGACCAGTACCGGGACTTGGACCTGACGATGGAGAGCTGGCCCGCAGAGGACGGCCCACGCGATCCGGCAGCCTACAAGTACGCTCACGCGTGCATGTTTTTGTGTGTGTGCATGTGTGTGTTTTTTTGTTGTTGGCATCTACCGCGCCAAACCGGCTGACCGAGTGAAAAGGCGTCAGTGCTACAGTGTTGTAGCGGGATAGAAGAGACGCGGACACGCTTTCTCATGGAGGGATTCTACTGTGCCGACATGAACGTGTTTGTGTGTGTTTGGTATTTGCATCGCCCGCCCTAACCGGCTGACCCGTTCGTGCTTGATAAAACGGGCCACGACCGAACGGCCGAACGAATGAAACCTTCCAGGGAAGCGCTGGACACGTTCGACCCAGGGGACGCGTGCACGGTCTTCACGCCCGACGACACCCACTTCGACATCGCCATGGAGGCCGTCCAGCGGGGCATGCACGCGATCGTCACCAAGCCGGTCGTCAAGACCCTCAAGGAGCACCGCGCCCTCCACGAGGCCGCCAAGGAGGCCGGCGTCCTCGTGATGGTGGAGGTGCACAAGCGGTTCGACCCCATCTACGTAGACGCCCGCGACAGGATACGGGACCTGGGGGGGATGTCGTACATGTACTCGTACATGTCTCAGCCGAAGGTTTGTTGGTCTGGAGCATGTGTATGTGTGTGGTTTCTTGCATGTGTGTTGTGTGTGTGTGTGTGTGTGTGTGTTTTGCTTCGTATTGTTGTTAGCATCGATCGCTCTAGTCGGCTGCGCAATGAAAAGACGTCAGTCTCAGTGCGGTTGTAAACACGAAAAGTGTGCGCGTGTCTGTCATGTGCGTGTTGTTCTTTTTGCCTGCGCGCCGTCTTTGATTGTTGTGGCCAGAGGTTTATTTTTTTGTGTACTTTTTACCTTTGTGGCTCATGTGTTGTGCGTGGCTTAGTGCGTGGGTGCGTGTTGTGGGTGTTTGCTTTGCTCTTGGGTTGTCTTGAAACAATACTATCAATAGTATTTCCAAGTAGTAATCGATAGCGTTGCTGTGAAGCAAGGAGAGCGAACATGACGCACGCTTATTCGTTGTACCTTCAAAGATCGAGGCAAACTCACGAAACACAAACATGATGTTGAATTCAATAGTCACGGGGACAAACGAAACCCTCCAGGAACCGGACGTGTGATGCAATTGTTAGCGATGTCTTCGGGTAGGGACCGACACGACTACCTCCAAAGAGGAAAAGTTGAGACACTTGTATGTGATGCTTGTTTTGTCATGTTGCCTCAAATAACTCGAGTGTCTCCAGTCGTTATTTTTATTGTTAGTCGTCTTGGTGCCTAGCCGAAGACATCACCAACAATTGTACCGCAAGTCGGGTCCATGGAAGGGTTTTGTGCGTTTTCTTGATCCTCAAATCCAACATGATGTCGCGTTTGTGTGTTTGCCTCGGTCTTTGGAAGGTAGAATGACAACGATAAGCGTGTGTCATGTTCGCTCTCTTTGCTTCAAAGAAACGCTGACGGCGACTTCAACTGTCTAGCATGTCCACCGATACCCTGTACTGCACTTGGTGTACAACAAACGTGGCGATCAAGAGTGTCTCGCTGCATCTTCCACCCCTTCCATGAAACGTTTTCGCCGTGCCCCCGCTTGCTCCGTCCGTCCCCCTCGCAGCACCAACTCGACACGTTTCGCGCATGGGCCGGCAAGAGCAGCGACATCAGCTACTACCTCAACTCGCACCACGTCGACTTCCAAGAGTGGGCCAATATGGTGAGTTATGCATACATATATTAGGAAACATAGATACAAACACAGAAAGACTACCCGTGCGAGATATAACCACAGCAGTCGAACGGGATGTGTGAAGTCTTTACAGTGAATGGAGGGAAAACCGGCTGGGCTGGGTTTATTTCGAGTCTATTTAAGTTTTTTCAGTGATGCCAGCAGGTGTTAAATCACAAAAACACTTTAAATACAAATAACTACAAGACATCTTATATGGTACATGGTCGCCAAAAGTTGCTTTTCTCGTGGCGTAACGAAGAGGCGACGACGGCCATGTTTGGGTGAACCCCAGTCATAAGTGGAACACGTGGCCTCTGTCCTGTTTTACTTTCCTGTGTGAAAGTACCGGTGGACTAACCCCGTTTTTCTCCCGCCTGGTGGCGTTCGGTCCCTCGTAAGGTATGCCCCTTGCTGTCCGATGCTGCTCCTTACCGCCCATCCTGTCGATGGTGCGACGACTTCAGTGCTGCGTCCATGTCTTTTGTCGATCACGAACGTACGCACATAGCGGTCGGTAGTTCTTGTTTTCAGTTTTTTGGTCGATCACCAATATCGTCCAGCGGTTGCGTTAAGAGTGTCGCGCTCGCCTGCGGGGGAGCGCATCCGGGTACAGGGAGCGGTAGCACCGGTCTTTCCATACGCGCGCGTGAGGAAGGCCCTACAAGTAGACCAGCAGCAGGCGTTCTCCTGTTGCCGTCCAGCAGCATCTATTTCATCCGGACGAAAGACGTGGCCACGGTCGTCACGATCTCTCCTGTCGACGCGGCGCCAGAACCATGGCGAGCAACGTCGATCGACGTCGTGAGCAGTACCTATTTTCTTTTTCCAAGCGACAAGCGACAATCCGGGACCTGTGCGTAGTCCGCTGTTGTCCTTTCTCTTCTTGCTGCGATTTTTGACGTGATGAGAATGCCTGTTAAGATTTCCCGACGAGTACGCCCCCCCCCCCCCCCCATGGACAAATTTGGGAAATTAGACAACAGCCAAAAAACGATCGCGAAAATTGGGGATAAATGGGGGGCACAAGAGGCCCTAGAGGACGGGGATAAGATGTGCAAGAAATTTTTATGGAGTTTGTGGCAGAAACGTAAAGAGCTCCCAAATGTTGGTGGTGTCTCTAGTAGGTGTAGGAACGGTGCTCCGTCTCGAAAGGGACGCGTGGTCAATGGTCAAATGACTACGGCAAGCAACAAATGAGTACCCCCCCCCCCGGGCCCTTGCTTGCTCAGGGAATTTCCCGCCCGACTCGCGTAACCGCGGCGGGGAGCACGGGCGTGGCGAGCGGGAAGTTCCGACATCGCCACGGAAGATACCATCACACTGCTGGTGGAGTGGGAGAATTTAGAGGATGGAAGCAAGTGAGAAGATTAGATCGACAGAGTGGTTGTATTTGCCTTCATTGGCAGTGATTCTCGCCGCTCCAAGCAATCCAGTACCATGAACCAACTCTTGTGTAGCCTGGGAGTGGCGGGGGCAGGGGGTCAATGGGTGATTGCTTGGGGTTACTTGGGGGGGAGGAAGCACGTGTGCTCAGTCTAATCCAAGCACGCATGCTTCTTCTCTGAAGGCAGACGTTGTTTTACCGCCTCCCGCCCTTCGCACGAAGAGGAAGGCATGTTCAAAATCCGGCCGTGCAAGTAGGTGTCAGCGCTTCGAGCAGTCTTACTTCAAATATCGTGGACCGTCAAGCCCATCTTCATTCGCTATGAGTATCGGCGCTCCAAGCAACTCTGTTCACTAATCGTGCAGTACAGCAGCAAGAGTTTACTCCTGTGCTAATTTACATGATCAGTGTATGAAGCTGCTATGAAGCTGCTTGGCGCCGCGAGACCCACTGCGAATAAAGATGGGCTTGGCGGTCTTCGCCCCGAAAAATGTTCTCCACCACATCGCTGCGCTTTGTACTCTCCTGTCAACCTGGCACGGACCCTCGCACGCGCCAGGGTATGGGCGGAACACTAGGATTTGGCAGGGAAAATTCGGGTCCTGCTGTCTTCGCCTTGGGGGAGTGCGTAATAGTCAAAAAAAAAAAAAATCCTCTCGCTATCGTTTGGGTTCCTGTCGCTATCGTTTGGGTTACGGCCAACTCCTGCGTGTAGGCCGGGGGTGAGTGCGCGGGGGGCCAATGACTAGAGTAATAACTTGGGAGGAAGCATGCGTGGCGGCTTTCTCATCAATAGGCGAAGTCTAGTCCAAGCACACACGCTCACTCCGGCCATACAGCGGTACGGGTTAAAGTACCCATCTCTCTTCGGCTTGTATTTCTGTCCGACGCCTTTCGCTCTGTTGTGGTTTCGTTCTCCCCGTGGTGGCGGTCGCGGCAAAAAAAAAAAAAAAACTCCTCCCCCGGCCCCCGGCGGCTGCGATGGCGCGTCTGCGAAAAAGGGGCACCGCGGTTTACACCTCGTCGTGGGTGGCCCCCAAGGCCGACGTGCACAGCCAGCAGCGGTTCTTCTACATGGGGCAGAAGGGGGAGATCAACGTGGACCAGGCGCACCGCGGCTACACCGTCGCCAAGGACGGGGACGGCTTCCGGAGCGTCAACCCCCTCTTCATGAAGTACACGCCTACCGACGGTGAGAGAGAAGAAGAGGAAATGAATGGTGCTTGGGGGTGTGGCGGGTTGATTGGTTTCGTGGGAGATTATGCGGAGCGGGTATGTTGAACGCCTGCGATTAAGAGGGAGTGTGACGGGGGTGGCGAATGTTGGGGTGTCGGGTCGGGGGGAGATATTGGCTAGTGCCGTAGGCCTTGCTTTTTTGTGTTTTGGACGAGTGTGGCTAATTGCGGGGAAATAACGGGCACCGCTATTTTCGCGAGGCGTTGAGACACGGTTGCATACGTATCAGGCAAATGAGTCGGCGGTGGTCGGCCGTGGCAACGCCTTGCAGCGGCAATGAATACACCGTTCGACACGACAGTTGTCTCGTTGAGTACGAGATATAGCAGTGTGTTGTACGTGTTTTGTTTTTCGATGACCCTCGACTCGACCAGACGGCAACACAACAGAAAATGCAGGCGTAGTTTTCAAATAGGTACGAGTACCCCGCGCGACATGCTTGCCCTCTGCATGCCCCAATACCTTCTCTCTTTTGGTTCAGTTTACCCCTGGCCGCATTTGGCTCTCCGGCCCTCTCGGATGATCCTGTTTGTAATTGTTGGCAGGTGCTCTCGCTGCTTCGTTCCCCTCGTGGGCGTATCGTCCTGTAGTTGTTGTTGTCGCGTTCGTGCTGCGTGACTCTTGTTCTTCATGTGTTGCTTAATTTTTGTTCTGTGTAAAAAATCATCAACCCAGGGTACTTCTCCGGCCAGACCGGTTACGGCTACCGAAGCTTCGAGGCCTTTGTCGACGCGGTTCGGCAGATCGAGGCTGGCATGGCCACACCAGAGGTGAGACCTTTCGAAGTCGAACGGTCAGCTCCACACACAACCTCTCACGCAGCCGCAGCAACAGCAACAGCAGCAGCAACAGCAACAGCAAGTAGCAGCAGCAGCAGCAACAGCAACAGCAAGTAGCAACAGCAACAGCAACAGCAGCAGCAGCAGAGGCGTGAACCATCGTAGCTGCTGAACTCTCTCATCAATCCTGTCAAAAGATGTAGCGGTTTGCTGCGGTGTTGCATCAAAAGGCGGCAACTGAAAATTCAGTGGTCCAGGTCCCGGTGGCAACCTTAGGTGCCCGAGTCAGTATTTCCCTGTTGTCGGTGTCGTCGTTTTTCTCTCCTCGTCGACCTTGTCGTGGGGATTTTGGCCATATGTAAGAGTTCCCGGGCCCACGTCACGAGTTTTCAGCACGGTTTTGCTGTCGTTTTAAATCTCGCACGCGACTGACACCGCGAACGACGCTGCCACGATGATCATGCGGGCGCCCCCCCCCCACCAAACTGCTGTCTCTCACACGACAGACCTTCGACTCGAAGCTGGCCACGATAGGCACCACGTACCTCACCACCGCCATCCTTGAGGCCGGCCGCCTCAGCCTCGACGGCAACGGCCGACCGTTTGAGATTACCTACGGCGGGGAGGACAAGCACATCCCCACCGACATCGTGCCTGTGGAGTTCTGACGTGGTGGTTTTCGGGTGCTTCCCTCCGAGATGGCTCCGTAATGCGTCGTGGTTGCGCGGTCGGTGTGGCTCTGTTGCCCGCCGCCGCCGCCGCCGCCCCCCGTTGTGTGTGTGTCCTTGGTTTCTTTTTTTGGGCTTTGAGCTCTGTTCGTCGGCACGGGGTACGTGCTATCGCAGCAAGTGTCCCATGTACGCAAGGTTTTAAGAAAGTCGTGTCAATTGCGGACAATTGAGTAAACCGAACGATAGAGGGTTGTACCTGAAGATGACGCAAGAAATGATGTTTCGGGAACTGGCTCTGAATGTTGTGGCGGCTGATAAGTTTAAGCTTTGCTTGCGGAAACTTGATGCCGGTTTCTGGCGCTTTCTTTCAACGTGCGGCTGCTCCCCCCCGCTGGACGAAAAATTAGCGCACTCCGGGCGGGTCGGCCGACGCTGGGAAGCAAAAGGCGGCGATGCATGCGCTCGCTTGCGTCGATGTCAGGTTGAGTAGCAAGAACCGACCGGTGTCTGATCCTTGCCGCACCCAGGGAAACCCTTTACATGCACTCCGTTCGCCCGGTCGTTCAGCAGGGAAGGAGGCCATCGGTACATGTTTATGCCGTGCGCCACACACGCGAGTCTTGCTTGTTCGTGGTGGTGGGGGGGGTGTTGATGTGGACGGGCAGATGCTGTGTACAAGCAAGCAGCCGTGTTCTTTTTTTTTAGAGCCTTGGCAGCCAGTTGGTGACGACACAGCCGCGTGTGCCCCGAGGCGTATCAAAACGACGAAAAAACCACATCACACGTCACATGAAAAAATGTTACAGCTAACCTGTCGAAGGAGAATGCCGGAGCAGTGACCACCGCGAACTACCCACCAGGACTAAAAAAAAAACACGGCACAAGCACTACTGCCATGGTTCCGTTTTTCACCAGCTGGTGATGACACTTGTGCTGCTTTCACTTCCGTCTCACCCGCACTGGTGACGATATTTCTCAGGGAATCAACCACCTGATGAGCCGACAACAACACAACAAGATGTCCCTGTGATCGTTGCATCAGCGCAGAGCTCGTAACAAAGTGCATTGTTCATGGCCCATCCTACCGCCTCGGGCGCACCCCCCCCACCCCCCCCACCCGGACTCTGCATTGCCCGACCTCGTCGTACCCGCAGTACGTTGCCTGGTGTGCTTTCAAAACACACCACACACAGGTCAGGTCGCTACTCCTGTCGTCCCGTATTGGGAGCAATGGTGCACATCCTTCTCTGCGCATATGGTAGACCACCTCTAGCTTGGACTTGAAGGACGAACAAAGCCCCAGATCCCCAGCCGCATGCCTTGCTCGTACTTCATACCATCTGTTTGAAGAGATGGTCGGGTACCCGCGCAACGCTCTGGATAAAACGAAAAGGGTACAACTTGTACCGTTTTGCACTTCATCCCGTCCTCTCCTTCTCCCACCCCGGCGCTCCTCCGCCCCTTCCTTCAGGCCTCGACTGTGCTCGATCGTCCTTACGAACCGCCCCGCGTGGCTTCCCCTCTTTGACCGAACTACCGCAGCCGTTCCGTGCCTCCCCCTCCTCCTGCTCCTGCTTGCCGCTGACGCTAGGGCTTTTACTATCCCGTCCGGAGGCTTCGTCCGATGTCCACGGTAAGAGCACGAGTCCGGCCAGCACCCGGCAGGCCGCGACAGCGACCGCGAGCACCGCCTGCCAGCAGGCCAGCAGGGCGAAGAGCCTCCCGCACCACCTCAGGTCCCTCTCGCCGTTTCGTTCCCAGTTCGCCGCCACCCACCTCGCCATCACCGTGTCGCCCAACCTAGGGTAGCCCGCCCCGACGTAGCAGACGAGCAGCACCGCCGGCAGGCAGAGCGCGAGCGCCGCCCGCCGCGCTGCCGCCCCCTGCGACGACTTCGGCAGGGCGGCGGCGGCGGCCGCGTAGGCGGCGGCAGTTCGGGCGGCGGCGTAGGCCGCGGCGGCGGCGGCGAGGAGGCAGACGTAGTTGTAGAACGGGCCGTTCGTGGCGGCGGCGACGGCGGCGGCGTGCTCCGACGAGGCCAAGCTCGCGAAGGCCGGGGAGAAGCCGTGGGCGTAGTGGAGGGCGGCGGTGGAGACCGCCAGCGCGACGACGAAGGCCGCCTCCACGCAGTGTTGTTCCACCTGGGTGGGGGAGGGGGGGAGGCGCAAAGTATGGGGGGT